TACTGCAGAGACTCACTATGCTACTATTATTCCAAAGGGTTCCTAAAGCATCTCATAAAGAAGTGCCTTGAAGTCAGATTATTGTGTAATGGGAAGATGATTATCCTGGATAACTGGGCCAGTTGTTAAAAGTATCTCGTCATCTATTTCTACTTACCCTCAGTAACATCCTGGGGGTTGGAAGTCCGGTCACTGGCTGGATCCAAGGCAACAGTTGCTAATGAAGTGGTAGCCCCTGACATCTCACTCATAGGCTCACTTCGGCTTGTTTCAGGCACACTTTCCCGTGAGCTAAATCTTACTCGGGAACTAGATCGAGAGCTGAGGTCTGGGCTGGTGTCTGACAAACCAGGAATGTCATCAATCTTTGTTGGTGTCACCATGAACCGAACTGAAGCCATCTTGGTGGTGGTTTCTGGAGGATGCATTTTTCTTCTTCTTCTGCTTTTTTCCCCCCCTTTTTAAGGACAAAGAAGAAAATCCCCCCAAATCCTTTCTCCTATGCTAGCTAATTCTGATTGCAAAAACGGAAAAGATGATTTATATATGTGTGTGTATATATATATATATATATATATATAAACCTTAACGACCTTGATTCACACCACACAAAAACTCCAAACAAGATCCCTTCTACTGAGAATTCAAACAAAACATCCTAGAAAGTACCCCACTAATAGCTGGCAAAAAATAAACTGCTTTAAGGAAAACAAAACAAAAAAAAAGTACAAAACTATTCCAATCTCGGGTAACTTTGCTCCTATAAAATGAAGAGCAACCTAGCTATCTGCCCTAGTCCAGGGCTGAGGGCTCAGTGCCATGGTCTCAGAGCAGCAGGTGAAGCCTCCCCACCCCAAACCCCCAGGTTCCGGCCGAGGTAGTTAGTCCTTTATCTGGCTAGCGTCTCACGATTCTAGCTGGGCGAAGTGTGTGCAAGCGAATATAGCATAGATTAGATTGCTCAAAGGTGTACACCAGCCACCTGTTGTGTATCAGGTAAATATCTCACAGGTCTGGCTAGGAGGAGGTGTGTGCAGAGCCACCCGATGTTTTTGAGGCCGACAATCCTCTTGGGTCTGGTGGGAAAGGTGCGCATGCATAACGGGAAAAATATCCCACACTACTAGATGGAAAAGAATGAGAAGATGGTGAGCAGAGGAGGGTGCAGGGGCAGAGCGAATTCCTGCCGCTTAGAGGTCTGTGGGGGTGGCCTGCCCGCTCTCCTGGTCCCTGAGTTCTGGGTGGAAAAGGTTAGCGGATCAAGACACCTCGAATTGCAGCTCGGGGTCGTGGCAGGTCGTTGCTAGTCCACTGAACCCACGGTCTGCTCACTGGGTTTCTCCTGCGTGTGACAGGAAGGGCGACCCCTTTTTGCCAGAAGACGCTTTCTTCCCTACCAGGGCCCCGGTGCAGGTCTGCCCCTCGCCGTTCTTCCTTCGAGTCCTAGCAGAAGAGGAGACGGCCACGAAGGCAGCCCCTGGCTGAGAAGAGGCGGCGGCGGGGACAGAGGAGATAGGTCGCAGGTGTGGGATCCGGGCGCCAGCTGATGCGGGTGCGCGCGCAGCTGTTGTTTACTAGCCAGTAACTGTTCGCAGACTGCGACGCACGCAGGAAGGCTGTGGACGCTGAGGAGGGTATCCCCTCCTCGACTACACGTCCGAGCAGCCGTTACGTGACCTCACCGCCCCCAGCCCCGGGCCCGGCGGGCTTTGCCCGCGCCGCCGCAGCCCCTCCCAACTCGTTCTTCATTCGAGGTTAACAGTCCGAAGAAACGCTTGGGGGAGCGGCCAAAGGGCGGCACCGTTCCGCGCGGTGCCTGGAGCCCCGCCCAGCCTCTGCAGCGCGCGAGGTGACGGAGGGCTATGCGCATGCGCTCGCATGGGACCGCAACTGTACCGGAGGGCAGGAAGGATGGGGGCGTGGGGGGTACAAAGCAGAGAGCGGCCCGGGGGACGGCGGGAATTGTAGTCCGGAGCTGCGTGGAGCAGGAAAAAACAATTCGTTTTTCGTTCTTGGTTCCTCTGTCTTGCAGAAACTCACGCAAGGTGTCTTAGAGAGCAGTGAATACCCCTATACTCAGAACCTCAAAGGCCATGTCTCTTTAAGAGCGTCTCTAAAATTCATTTCTTTTAAAATTCCATACACCCAATTCCATATACCTAAAATCTGACCCTCATTGGAATTTCATGTAGTGGTCTAAAGTATATCCTCACATTCATACACACTTTGTACATTTTTACTTTTTCCTGTTCTTTTTAAAAATGATGTGTCCACTTTCTAGTCACACTTGAATTTCCATTAAAGAGCACATCTGGCAAAGAATTTTACTGGGGAAGACACTACTACATTTATTGACATGAGAATATTTTTTAGTGTTTATTTAATGCATAAATCAAGGTGTCCATTAAGTGTTGACTCGTCTATGTTTTGTTTGAAAGTTATTTGCTATAGTTTTGAGCAAGAAATCAGTTTGGGCCCATAAACTATCTTGGCTTTTCTTGGGTCCTTGCTCCACATTAATTGGAACTTTTAGGCAGCATCCTTAGTGATGGATCAGAGTTTATTTAAGGCCTGACCAAGTAAATACATTCCTTTTATCAAGTGGCACACAAAGTCCAAATTCCAGTTAAAAAAGATCCAATTAACAAAATCAGAAATAAATTGTTTAAAATGTGAACCACCTCAAGCTTAATCCTTTATAAAGTTTATAATTCTTTTTTCAAGTTCACAGCTTTCTTACTAGAGGAGCTGGATTTATAAAGAAATGCTGGATTTTTTCAACACTCAATTTTTGCTTTCTTCTAGCGTATTTGCATTTAATTATATTGCTTCCCTCATCTCTCAGTACTAATCAAGCTCTATAAATGTCATGTTCCTGAAGATGTTAATAACCAAGGGAGCTCTTAAGTAAAAGTCCTCAATACATATATATGTCAAGTTTGCCTTTTCTCATTTATTTATTTAGATTAGGGATATTTTCAGGCCAAAGTTTCTTCATTTCAGTCTACACAGCAGGTGGCATGGAAACAATGCTATCCCCCCACCTTTGTAAAACAAAAATAGGACTGCAGCTAACATTGAAAAAATAAATAAAAATGGTGACAGTATTCATTTACTGACTTAGATGGTTAAGAAAGTTCAATACCAGATCTTTTCTTAGTCATATGCAGACTTTTTTACATTTCTTAGTATAGGTAATTCTAAAATCCCTAGGATCCAATGTTAAGAAGAATGCAAGTGAATAGGCCAAGAAATAAAAATTGCGACAGAAAACAAGTATCTAATTTCACCATTCTTCTAAGTAACTGATTGAAAATCATGTGTCTTCTGTTGACTATGACCCAAGTCTAGAGATATTTTTCTGAACAGTCCTGAACTTTTCTGTAGAGGTGGTCAAACAGCAGCATTCAAAAAAACTGTATCTACTGCTTTTTAGGACCAGTTGTTATAAGCCACATGTGCACTAAGTTACATCTGCTTCTGGAATCTAGAATTTTGATTTAGTGGAAAAAGAAGACTGCAGAATTAGAACACTACATTCTCCACAAAGCAATTTTTAAATCAGTGGCACTGAACAACATTCAAATCCAATGTCAAAAACTTTAAGTGAGAAGACTGGGAAATAATGGGTTACCCTGACAAGGAACCTACTAGCTGCTCCACAGGAGAAAGACCCAGTGGGGGGTCACAATGAGTTTGAATCGACTTGATAGCAGTGGGTTTGGGTTTTGATTTTGACAAGGATAGGAAGCAGCAAGTTAGCATTTCTTAAATGCCTGTATACGGTATTTCACCTCACCATCCTAAAATGAACTAGCTGGAGTCAAAAGCATTTGTGGTTGCCAATGATAGAAGCTTAAGTCCTATGAAATTTCTCCCATTTTATTATTAATTAACCTCCAACAGTAACTTGAAAAAGAACAAAATTCCCTACTTGAATCTCCTGACAATCTTCTAAATTAAAATCCAGGTAGAATTCCACCTAGTAGCTGCCACAGAGAATACGAAGTTACCCACTATCACTGAGTAGATTCCAACCTAGTGACCCTATAGAATAGAGAACTGCCCCCTGCCAAGGCTGTATATCTTTATAAAAGCATACTGCCTCATCTTTCTCATTCAGAGTGGCTGATGGGTTTGTAGCTGAACCCTTTAATCCCTGTGCCACCAGCACTCTGTGAATACAAAGTTAGATGTCCTGTAAAATGACAGTTCCTTAATGAAGAGAACTAAAAGCCTGGGAATATTTCCAGGGGAAAAATAAATATGTAAAAAAACACCTATATTTGTAAAAGTTGGACAAACACTGTAAATAAATTAAGAAGATCCACTGAATTTGAGTTGGAAAAGAATTTAGATATGAGAAAATTGGGGCCAATGAGGTGATGTGATTTTCTTAAAGTACCCTGGTCTACTGACTTCAAATTCAGTAGTGTTCTCTCTACAGTTACTGCTAGTACTTTTTCAAGCAAGTCTTCCATTTTGAGTCAAAATGTCTTTTCAAGGAGCAAGAAATTATTAAAGTGACAACAGGGGTATTTTTCAGTGCATGTTGACAGTTGTGCAAAACTTTTTCTCAACCTTTCTTCCCTTCCCCAGCACTCTCCCATCAGTAACAGCACATTATTATTGCTGCTACAGCAACAAGTGAAGTTTTTCTTCCAAACGATTTTGTTGCAGCTCTCTGGGGCATCCTTCCCTCATCTACCTCGTGTTTTTTTCTTTTTAGTTTTAAATTAACTATTTGCTACCACAACACACAAAATAAAACGTCTTTCAAGTCATGTTGTCTTTAATAACCTGAGACTGATTCACAACACGAAGATTCAAACTTCTTCCCTTTAAAGGAGATGGTAACTATGATTCCCTCACACAAGCATAAGCAAAGGCTGGATTCCCAAAGAGCAAAAAGGGCTTCAAGGCTCACGGAGTGCTGAGCTTGGTTACGGAAAATCTTGGAGGAGTAGCAGATGGCAGAAGAGATGATATACCAAAGACCCTCAGAGGACAGGGCGCCGTTGCTGGGTCAGGAGCACCTTGAAGCGTTTCTTGATGGTGATTCGGTGTCGAGAGTATTTGTCGTCTGGGGAGAACCGTGCAGGATGGGCTGAACATGTCTGCTGTCCCATAGGGTCAAGCTTCTGCTCGATTAGGAAAGAGAGAACACAATGTCAGTATAAAAGTGGTGGAAAAACTCAAATGACTGGCGCCAGAAGAAGATGAAGGCTGGGATAGGGTAGGGACAACGCGAAAAAGACACAATGAGATTCCGAGACGCAGCAAGTCACATCAGAAGTCGCACGCTAGAGTTTCCACCACGCCTCCGGTCTGGCCCTTCTGGTTTCCCTCATTTGGCTAGGCAAGTCGGTGGCGAGTCTCAAACAGTTCCTTCCACGTACATGTACATTCTCACTATACACCTTTATACCTGCTTCCTTTCCTTACCTTCAGTGTATAGACTCGGTCTCCCTCCTCGTTAAGATAATACTGGAGAAACATTACCACGCTTTTGCTAGATAAGCCAACCACCTCTGCAGTCGCCTCGGCAACTCCGTCTGCCCGACCTCCTCACGTGATTATCAATTTCCTTTCTGTAAAGCCGGAAGTCTATTTCAAGGCATGCTAGGAAATGTAGTCCATTATTACCCTTGTCTTCAACTGACCAAGAGGGGGCGTGCTAGTGCAGAACTTGGCCTGGGGCTACAAGTTGCAACCTTGTAAGCGTTCTAAAACACGTGGAGTGTGCACACTGTGTGCCAGGCACTGTTAGGCCTGAGAGGGGGTGGGGATGGATTGGGTGGGATACCAGCGAATAGAATCTTGCCTTTATCGCCAGATGAACAGCTATTTCAGGGGCACTAGGTTTCCAATGCTTGAAAAAACAAGGGTTTTAGGATTTCGAGCCCCTTTTTACCTTAGGAGAGAAAGAAGAAGGTTTTCTTCCCTCCCCTGTTTAACGCGGTTCCCTGGTCCCTTTTCAAAGTATTGGCGGTAAAGAGTGCATGATGGGTATTCAATATTCTATAGAGCAAAGAGAGCGTGAAGTTATTTTATGAAACTGGCGAAGTATGTCTTAGTCATCCAGACAACATTCAAACTCAGGTCTCTTTGCTGCAAATTCAGCGCTCCTTCTTTTATGGTGAGTAGTTAACAATAGTATATATAAAAGATGCACCTCCTAGGGGTATTTCAAATTTTAAAAGAACGGAGAAATTCTCCTTATAGGACTCTAACTTAAGTTAATGAAAATTCGAGCCAAGATACTGCAAAGACGATCATTACAACATTATTTATAATGGAAAAAACAGTGGAACATATATTAAGTTTATACCCAGAGAAATCTTTTGCAAAATATACCTCGTATTTGCAGTTGCATAAAATATCTCTGCAAGGATTCACAAGAAACAGATAATACTGGTTTCCTCTGGTTTGGAGAACTCTGTTACAGGGGAAAGGGGTGGGAGGAAGGCTTGTGTAGTGTGTTTTGCACAGTTTGACTTTTGAACCATGCTATTGTATTTACCCATTTTAAAAACTAAATAAAATTATTTTTTTAAATAAAAAATATTTGACAAAATAATTCAACAAACACAAATAAGGACTTTCTGGTCTTGAAATTTTAGGTTACATGGCAGTTTTTGATGTAGTGAGGCTTTTTAGCAAAAGCTATCATTGGTAAGGCTGGGCCTGCAGCAGACTGTAGAACTGATGGAAATAGGCTGTTTGGGGAAGGAAAGAAAACTTTACAAGGAAACGATATGTCTGGCAACACCCTGGATCTTCTGAAATGATCCTAATTTCAAACATTCAGTTTCCTTGATCCATAAGTACACAACCTATGTGCTCTGAATTTGGTTTAGAAAGTATAACCTTCACTGAATTAAGTCAAGGGTCTACTACCAAACTGCTATTAAGAAGTCAGTTACAGAACTGGGTGAAGGGCACAAAACTAGGTATGCCAAAGAACTGAAAGAGAACAGAGTGGTAAAACTGCAGTGTTGGGAATTTGAGAAAGAATTTACAAATTGCCCTAAAGAGGTAGCTATCAATTGTGTCACCAAACTCTAGTTTGGAGGGAACTCTTGGTTATTACCTGCTTTACCAGAACCCTTCATGGGCTATCTCATCGCCCCTCTCACATTCTCTTTTCACCTCCCCCACTGCAGAATGCTTTGAGTCCTAGATTCTAGTTCTGTTTGATCTGATCTTTATCCTCCCTACCTTGGATCCCTGGGTGTCTGCTGGAGCCAGCTTACTCTCTGGGTCCTGGACCTGATTGTCTCATTCTGGACCCTTCCAGACAGCCACGATTAGTGCCTAGACCTAAGAGGATGGCTTCAGATGGAGGTACGTCTGCAGGGGGTATGGGGGAAAGGGGAACCCCTGCCACTAACTTAGATTTTGGGGGATTCAGATTCGACACTTCACCTGGGGACAAGCTTTTTGGGCTGACCAAGAGGGAGGAGAGAGCACTAGACCCCACCAAAAACATACTTGGGGAAGCTGAGGAAGGAGATTGGATACTTAAGACTGGGTACTGTGGAAGGAAACGGAGTTCCTTGAAGTCCAATCAAGGTGCCTCAGAGGAAGTATGCTGGGTATAGAGAAATTATGGCAGTTAGGAACTTGATTTCTAGGACAGAGGTATGCACAGTGAGGGTGGCACAAAGTGGGTTTAAGGGGAAGGTGTAAGGGTCTGTGTCCTTTTCTTTAGGTGACTGGAGCCTGCCTAGTATTTTGCCCTTAGAGAATTAAGCTGGAGCTGCTCTTGATCTTATGAAGAGATTGGGGTGGGGGAGAATGGCCTTAACCATTTCAGTGGGGTTGTCAATTGCCAAGTTTATCCAGAAATGTCCTCCTGAAAGCTGGGCAGGAAGGTGCTATAACTGACGCTACTCAAGTCTCAGGGCTCCTTCTAGCTCCAGAGATGGTTTCTCTTTCCTTTCAGTTCAGGGAACAGTTTTCCTTGATTCATCAGGGCTGAGAAGGGAGGTAACTCCAACCAGGGTGAGCTGAGTTTTTTGACCTCAGCAACACAGGCCTTCAAAGCCATGCCATTTTGTCCAGCGCTTTGTGGCACACTCCTAGGCCTCTGTTCTACTGTTGAGGTGATGAGTTTACTCATGGTCCATGTCTCCTTGGCAGAGGTGTATCTAGGGCATGACAAGTATGGCACATACCCTTCGCACCACTTGAGGGGGTCCGGTGGAAGCCTGAGTGTTGTCAGTTTGTCAACTGTTGCCATGGAATGTTCTTTGTAAGAGGAGGATGTTGTTGTTGTTATGTGCCATCAAGTCAGACCCAACTCATAGTGACCCCTCCTTGGGTTTCCAAGGCAGTATCACTAAGGAAGTAGATTGCCCAACCTTCCTTCCGAGGAGTGGCTGGTGGGTTTGAACCGCCAGGCTTCTGGTTAGCAGTCAAGTACCTTAGGTACTACGCTACCAGAGCTCCCAAGAGGAGGATAGTAGCATGAAAATAGGCAGATTATTTTCTATTATTAAAAGTCCTGGGGCAGGGGAGTCATAGGAGAAACATGGCCTGAAAATAAGTGCACCTTTTTTGTATTGGTGGTCTCTTTGACTAGAGTCCACAAGATCAGGGACTCTGTAACAGACTTCACTGTCCTTCCCTGAGCACCTGGCTCAGTGTCTTCTTGATGCTGCTATGTGTGTCGAGTTGGACCCGACTCATAGTGACCCTTCCTTGGGCTTCCGAGGCAGTATCACTATGGGAGTAAATTGCCCCATCTTCCTTCCGAGGAGTTGCTGGTGGGTTTGAACCGCCAGCCTTCTGGTTAGCAGTCAAGTGCCTTAGGCACTACCCTAAAATTTCTATTATTAGGAGCTTAAAGCAGAAGGACCACAGACAGTGTCCATTGTCAACTTTTAACATACCCAGTAATTGCTTAAAACTTCTTCACCATACCTCGGCCCCTCACCCACTTGTTCTTTAATCATTCCTGACAGTTATATAACAAAATTTGGGAACCAAATAACTAATCCACACCCCTTCTTCTGGGAACAGTGAGTGGTGGCAGAGACCACAGAGCAGCTGGGAGCAGGGTTCGAGTTTGAATCTCTGCTTGGAATGGGTGGGAACAGCAGATGTATATGTGTGCTGGGTGGGATATGTTACGGGGTGTGAGCTTCATGGGTCCTAAGGTTCTTGCTCTTGCTTGTAGATTGCACCTTTCTACTTCTGTGTTTTAGGTTAGGAAACAAAGAGAGGAGATTTATAAGGAACAACAGTAAAATGAACACTGAGGAGGAGATGGGACTAATAATCTTTTCAAAACTGCCTCGTTGTTGAGGGCCCTGTAGTGCTTAGAGAAGGGCCAGAACCTTTCCTGACTAAACTCATCTGCTTGTGAGCCTGCTCTGGGCTATTTCCCCTGCAGATCAAATGTCAGCCCTGCTTCATGTCTTGGCAAATAGCCTGTCGTGCTGGCAAGGGGATCAGAGGCAGTGATGGCTTGGGTTTGTCTCTTTGTGGCAGACAGGGGTCTTCATCTCTTGTTGAAAAGAAAGCAATTTCTCTAGTTCAGTAATTCTCAGCTGGGAGTAAGGAAGATGAAAATCACTTGGGGGTCATTTGCAAACTGCATGTAAGTTTACCATGCATGCCCCTTACCCTACCTATTGAGCATCTGTGCTCTGATTCTTTGGTGACTCAAAGGGACCCAGATGGTCTAACGCCATTCTCCTTTTCTTCTACTGTATTCCCTTTTTTTCTTTAACAGCATCTCCGTTGTCAAGACCAGACATGACCACGAAACCTGGCGCTGACACGCCTCCTTTCACTGCTCTTCCCTTTCTCCCACCTACTGCAGGCCCACTGGACCAACCACCCTGGGAGCCACCCCCACAGCCTTCCATGCCTTCAGCTTTCTCTCCAGGCAGCCCTCTGGTGCTGTCTGCATTCCCCAGCCCACTGTTGATGACAGGGGATGGAGGCCCTGGCCCCAGTGGAGCTGGGGCTGGGGCTAGGGCTAGCAAAGTCATTGTCCAAGTCAAGACAGAAGAGGGGCCAGCTGAGACCCTCCAAACTCAGAACTTTATCCTTACTCAGACTGCCCTCAATTGGATCGCCTCAGGCACTCCCCGTGGGGGCCCTGAAGATCCTCCACCTCAATTCGCAGCAGCCTCTACTATGAAGACCATTCTGCCTGCTAAGGCTACTGGGGTGAGCCAGGAGGGGCCCCCAGGCCTTCCTCCTCAAGCTCTACTGCCAACTGCCCAACTGGCCCCCATTTTCCCCTCAGAGAAGGTTTGGCCAGAGCCACATAGGGCTCCCAGTGAAGGAGGCTCTGCGACAGCCCAATCCAAGCCCTCACTGGGTGACCTCTCCTACACCTCCAAGGGCGTTTATGAGAACTTCCGACGTTGGCAGCGCTACAAAGCCTTGGCCCGCAGGCACCTATCCCAAACTCCTGATGCAGAAGCTCTTTCCTGCTTTCTTATGTAAGTGGAGAGACCTAAGATTAACTAGCCTAGGGCTTTTAAATAAGGACGACAGTGGGATGATCTATGAAATTAGGCTATTTAAGAATACTTGAAGGTAGATCGTGAGGGTGATGGGGATGCTATGAAAAAAATAAAAGCACAATAATCATCATAATAATGATAATAAGCCTCTCAACCCACTTCCCAGTTTATAACATGCTTTCAGGTATCTTCTCTCAAGTGGTCCTCATAACCTGAGTTCAGGCATTTTTATGGTGCTCCTCACAGAGGAGAAAACTGTACCTCAGAGAGATTTCTTATAAAGCCAGGAGCTGTGATTAGGATTTCGGTCTCTGACTAAAGTGCCATGATCCTCCTGTCCTGTTCTGCCACCTTTCGACATTTGAGTTGAGCCATCCCTACTGGCCATGACAAGGAGTGCTGGGCCCTCACTCATTCCTGTGGGAGGGAAGGACAGTGCAGGGCCAGCAAAAGAACTTTGTGTGTACCTCCTCTGCCCCACCCCACCCTATTTTATTTAGAATTCAAGTTGAGTTAGGGAGGTAGTAGAGCATGTTTGGAGTTCCTGGGTGGTACAGTGATTAGCTGAAAGATTAGTGGTTTGAATCTACACAGAGGCATCTCAGAAGAAAGGCCTGGCAATCTACATGGAAAACTCAATGGAGCACAGTTCTCCTCTAGCACACATGGGGTCTCTATGAGTTGGCATTGACTCAATGGCAATGAGTTTTGTTTTTTAGGGTGTGTTTAGTGGCCAGGGGCTCCACCGATCACTAAATTTATCATCCTGGGCATGGCTTTAACATCTTTAACTGTTTTCTCATCTAAAAAGAGTATATTTATACCTATCTCAAAGGGTTGCTGAGAAGATTAAATGAGTTTATGCACTTAAAGTGGATACTTTATTAAATGGTGGTGGTTGTAGGTCCCTGGGTGGTGCAAATAGTTTGCACTGGAATATTACCCTCCAAGTTTGAATCCACCCACCAGTACCATGACAGGAAGGCCTGGCAATCTGCTTTGGTAATGTTTTAACCACAAAAATTCTATAGACCAGTTTTACTGTGTGACATGTGGTCACTATGAATTGGAACCTACTCAGTGGCAACAGGTTAGGTCAGGTGGTTTTTGTTAGTTGCTGTCAAGTTGGCTCTGACTCATGGAGATGCTCTTCACAATGAGATCAGACTGTTGTGATGCATAGGGTTTTCAAATGGCTGATTTTCAGAAGTAGACTGCCAGTCCTTTCTTCCTAATGTTTTGGCCCAGAGGCTCCACTGAAACTTGTTCAGCATCACAGCAAAATGATGGCTCCATTGACACATGGGTGGTGGTTGCACTTGAGATGCATTAGACATCAGGCAGGAATCGAGCCCAGGTCTCCTTCATGGATGGCGAGAATCCTACCACCAAGCCGCCACTGCCCTCCATTAAGTAATAGATGTTATTATTGTTGTTGCTGTTGTTATAAAAAGACAATCTAGAAGAGGAAAAGAACTTACAAAAAGCCAAAATATTCTTGTTTAAGAGTGTGAACATGTGAGTGGACAATTAGCCAAGGAGTCCAGGGCTATGTTACATTTATAAAGCAGAGTCATTGGTCATTGCGGGTGTTTTCTCATCGCACCCAGACCTGCTGCCTCTGATCTGCACTGTGCCCTCAGCATCTTCTGTAGAGCACTCCATAACACGTACCACATTTGCTGGACTTTGAAATAATTTACATGTTGCCCCTCCAATGACTGAACTCCTAAAGGAATCTCCCCAAGCACCAGACCCTGGAAGGAGGCTCTCCCAGAGTCCTGGTTTTAGACAGCCAACTTAAAATTCTTTCTTGGAGCCTGGAAGATTGAATTTCAGAACCTTGAGCCAGCACAGGCCCTCATAGCTTGCAGGGACCCATTTACTTTTGGTCCTAGCCTATTCCTGCTCTCCATACGTAGGGGCTCTGGGCAGGGTCACCCCAAAGTGCAGTCCAGATTCTCTGAAACAATCATCTAGGAAGCTAGTAAAATGCTCAGGTTTGGGATCATGGGAATAGGATTCTGAAACCCTTACTTTAGGCTGGCCTTTTGATTTTTAGGACCATCCCTCCCTATTTGCAATAAAGTTCCCACGTGATTCTGATGTACAATGTTTGAGGACTGAATGGGAAGTCAGGCAAAAATGAAGCCCTTACTTTAGCCTGGCCTTTTGATTTTTCTGGATCAGAAAGGGCTCTGCAGCCTTCCATCAGTGGGAAGTCTAGTGTTGATATTTGACAGTTAGTGAGGGGTATCCTGCAGACAAAAATACTTAAAAACTAACAAAAACAATACCTCCTTTAATTAGAGATTTATTCAGATTCTGAAGTTCTTAAAAAAAAAAAAAAAAATTCCAAGAGCTTTTGGGTGGGGTTAAGCCTACTTTGAAGTGAATCTTATTAATAACACAAGTGCTTTCTTCTTCCTAATGTTTGAGGACAGCACTGTGAGAATTGAGAGTAGTGGCAGTAGTTGATTTCAAAATGTGAGGAGAATCTATTTGATTTGGTGTGAGCAAATTTCAGCTCGGAGAGAGGAGAGTATGGTAAAATGAGTGGATAGGAGGCCGAGGAGTCTGGAAGTGTCATTTGGAGTGGGACTTGAGGGGAACAGGGCCACATCACATCTGACAATGGGCAGAGGATATGCGTTGAGGTGGGTGTCAGGACAGGAGGGTGGGAGGATGCACTTGGAGTATGTGACTGACCTAACTGCGGTTTTAGTCCAGTGCTTCGTTCCCTGGCCCGGCTGAGACCTGCTATGACCTTGGAGGAGGGACTGCCAAGGGCTGTGCAGGAGTGGGAGCGTACCAGCAACTTTGACCGGATGATCTTTTATGAGATGGCAGAAAAGTGAGTCCCACTAACCCTCAAACTCCTGAGCGGGGCCGTGTGATTGCAAGCAATGGGGAGTGGGGGCAGTTAAGAGAAGCTTGTGGGTGATTATTAAAAGGGATGTTAGAAGGCGTGTAGATTAGGATAGAGCCTCTTGAAATCTGGAAGGCTTTATTCTCCCCTCTCATGTCGTTTCTTCCACCACCTTCATCCCTTGGTTTTTAGATCCTGTCTTCTCTTGGTCTTGAGTCTATATGATATTGAAGGTCTTTGGATAGGGTCGGGGAGCCTGATATGTGTAAAAATCCCATGCTCTTGAGGGGAACTAGCAATGAGAGGATCAACTCTACTAGGCAGATTCTTTCCTATCTCATTGTCCAGGTAGCAAGTGGCTATTGATGCAGAGATTTGGGACCATCCCTCCCTTGGAAATAGTGGCACAGAAAATCAACCCATCATCCCAGCAAGGTGCTGGTCTGGAAAAGGTTGGTCAGGGGAAGCCAGGGTCCTTTGAAGGCCTGAATGGTCTCCTGGCTCTTCTCCCCCATAATCTCCTTGGTTAAAAACAAACTCAGAGGACAGTGAACCCTTTCTTCCAAGCTTAGTGTCTATTTTTCCACAAAATTCTGGACCGAATATTCCCACCTTTTACTCTTCCAGGGCACTAGTCCTAGCCTGACGCTTGGTTCTCAGCACTGCTGCCTGGTGGGACTTCTTAGAATTGCAGCTTTGGGTCCTGCTTCAGGATTTGTCTGTCATCCTTTGTGGTTATAGGAGTTTTGGTGGCACAGTAGTTAAAGCATTTGGCAGTTTGAACCCCGAAGCTGCTCTGTGGGAAAAAGATGAGGGGGTCAGCTTCTGTAAAGATTTACATCTTTGTAAACCCTATGGGCAGTTCTACCTTATGGGGTTGCTGTGAAATGGAATTAACTCCATGTTGTTGTTGTTACGTGCCGTTCAGTCAGACTCCACTCATAGCGACCCCTCCTTGGGTTTCCGAGGCAGTATCACTACGGAAGTAGGTTGCCCCATCTTCCTTCCGAGGAGTAGCTGGTGGGTTTGAACCACCAGCCTTCTGGTTAGCAGTCAAGTGCCTTAGGCACTATGCTACCAGAGCTCCTAACTCCATAGCAGTTTTTTTTTTTTTTTTTTTTTTTTGGTGGTTGTAGGCTAGGGCAGGTGAGGCCTTCAGGAGGGGTCCTGCCATGCTGTCCCTCAGCGTAAGTCAGTGAGCCTGTATTAAGTGTGTTGGCAGCCTCCATGATGCTGGGTGAGATAGGACAGGAAAAAAGTGATAGCTACGCTCAGTTCTGGAGAAGCTTACAAGCTCTAGATAGTTCATTCTCTTTTTCTAATTGTGATTTAGGTGAAAAGTTACAGAGCAAATTCATTTTCCTCACAGCAGTTCATACACATTTCGTTTAGCTGTCTCCCTGTACAAGTACTGCCCTTCTGATCTCCCACAATTGGGTGTTCTGAGGCGTGTACCTACCTGGCATAAATGATCACCTTATATGCTTGTCTGTTGTTTGGCTGGAAGCCACAGGAGTGAGTTCAATTCTAGGTCTGAAGGGTGACTAGGGCCCTTAGTCTTCGGGGTTTCACCAGTCTCTATTAAACCAGTAAGACTGATCTTTTTTATGATTTTGAGTATCATTCCACATTTTTCTCCCACTCTATCCAGGATCTCCTGCCCTGAGTTCTTTCAGAATGGTTGACAGTGGTAGTTGGGCACTATCTAGTTCTGGTGTAATGGTCATGTAGGCTGAGGTTCACATGGTCCACTAGTTCCTTGGACTAATTGTTTACATTTGTCTTTGGTTTTCTTCATTTTTCTTTGCTCTAGACAAGGAGAGACCAATTGTTGCATCTAGATGGCTGCTTGCAAGCTTTTAAGACCCCAGTTGCTACTCACCGAAGTAGGATATAGAGCAATGTTTTTGTGTAGGATGTTATGCCAATTGATCATTTTCTTTACAAGCATCCTAAGTGATGACTGCAGGTGAGGGGATGATATGGTGACCTCATAAGGTTGTCCCAGAACTGTTCTTCAGTCACCAGTGAGCAGTCCCCTCCTGTTGTTTGGCTGGAAGCCACAGGAGTGAGTTCAATTCTAGGTCTGAAGGGTGACTAGGGCCCTTAGTCTTCGGGGTTCCTGGATCAGTTGATTTAGGCAGGCCTTTGCCCAACTGACACTTCCTTTCTTAGGTGTGTATGGCTGCTACCTGGTGCGTGGGTTCCTGATGGGATTGGTCACCTTCTCAGCACTGCTCAAGCCCTCCTTATCCTCTGCAGGTTCATGGAGTTTGAGGCTGAGGAGGAAATGCAGATTCAGAATGCACAGATGTTGAATGGGTCCCAATGCCTGCTTCCTGCAACGCCTCTGAAACTCGATCCTCCGGTGCCCCCAGCCCCAGAGGTTTGCCAGCAGCCAGGTATGGCGACTCAGAGGTTTGCCAGCAGCCAGGTATGGCGACTCGATTCCAAAAGAGGTTGTAGGCCAGAGGCGCAAAGGGAGGCATGTAGAAGCCAGTCAGATTAGGGGAGGCAATTGCTCTCACTTCTGCCACTTTTCCTCTAGTGAGTGGTATTCGATGTTTTGAACCAACATTCTGTGGGAACCTGGGTTCTCAGGTTTCCTTTGTCCCCAACTAGCTATTGGTCTTGGCCAAGTAAACTAGCTACTCTTTTTACATGAATGTCAAGTGGGGCCCATGATACCTAATCTAAGAAAGAGAGGCTGGATTAGGGGATTTCTTGGAGTTTCAGGAGTTCTAAGATTCCTCATTCCATGTCTCTATAACCCTCTAGTTTCTAAATCTTCTCTCCTGGCTGATATTCAGGTTGGTAGGACCCAGCCTGGTAGCATTCCATTGCACCAACTGACCTCATGAACAGGGCTGGGAGATGGAAGCTGTAGCTTCTGTGCCACTTCACCTTTCTGGTTTCCACCTTTTCCTTCTCTAAGTGTACATTCCAAAGAAGGCACCCTCTAAGACCAGGGCTCCCCGCCGGCGACAACGCAAGTCTCAGAAGCTTCAAGTTCCTCAGGCACCCAAGGAGATCCCACCAGAAGCAGTGAAAGAGTATGCTAACATCATGGATGGACTCTTGGGGAGCACCTCAGCCGCTAGGGAGTCAGATGGCAAACAGGAAGAGGAAGAAGAGCAGCAGCAGCTGGAAGGAGGGATGTATCCAGACCCAGGTCTCTTGAGCTACATTAACGAGCTGTGTTCTCAGGAGGTCTTTGTCTCCAAGGTGGGCTATGCCTGGAGGTCTGGTTTCCAGATCATGGGGGTGGGCACTTCTGGGAACCAAAGATCTGGGTTGTTCCCAAAGCAGTTAGGACCTAGTCTTTATTCCAAAACTCCTGAGAAGTGTGTGTGTGTGCAAGCATGCATATATATGAATTTGAGTAGTTACTGGTAGTGATGACTTATAACAATCTGGGGTAGGGGTGGGGGGGGGCTCATGACTTCTTTTCTAGAACCTCTAGGCTCACAGGTTACCTGTCCTATCACTTTTCTTCTGTTCCCCAGGTGGAGGCTGTTATTCATCCTCAATTTCTAGCAGACCTGCTATCTCCAGAACAGCACAGGGACCCATTGGCCTTAATTGAGGAGCTCGAACAAGAAGAAGGACTCACTGTTGCTCAGGTAACCTTGGGAAGTAGGGAGTGTCAAAATCAGATGCCTGCATGATTTTATCTAACCCTGCTCTGTCTTGGATGATATGGCTTCTAGAGAGTAGCCTCAGCTTGAGGTTCAGGTGCCAAACAAGTAGGTAGGAGGAGACCATGGAAAGGCAGGGAATGGGAGCGCAAGGCCTCAAAGCATGGGAATAAAACACATGAGGGTGGTCTACTGTATTTGTCTTTGTTAGCATCACTTAAGCCACCTGCTTGCCTTTCCCGCCTTGTCCAAACACCATCTCACCACCATCCACTCAGCCACCTCTTCTCAGTCATGTATAAAACCTGGTATTTGTCATTACCCTTCCAGCTGGTACAGAAGCGCCTCATGGCTTTAGAAGAGGAGGATGCAGAGGTGCTTGCAAGCTGCAGTGGAGCTCAACTGGACTCAAGTCCTTCTGTTTCTGAGGAGGATGAAGATGGGGGTGGGCGACTTCGGCCCTCACCTGGGCTTCAAACGGCCAAGGGCACTGTTTGTCCCACAAAGGCTGCTTCTCCAGGAAAGCAGGCAAGAGAAGGGCATGGTAGGCAGGAGCAAGCCATTGATGGTCCAAGGAAGATACACAGGGATGAGAACACTGTGTCATCCCTTAGAAGCTGGGACCTACAGCTAGAACTTGCAGCTCCACAGGCTACTCAGGGGCCCTTAGGCATAGAGAGAAGAGGGTCTGGGAAGGTTACAAACCAGTTATCCCATCAGGATGGCCATGTGGGAGATGCAATGTTCCTTGGGCATTCTTTGGTGGCAGACAGGACCTCAGAGGCCTCGCCCGTTTGCTGGCAGGAAAACTCCCAGCTAGAGGGAGCTTCCTGTTTAGATGTTGGACTTTCAGACCCAGCTCCTCTGCAAGGTCAGGGGTTAGAAAACCAGGTCCTGGGGCTTCAGACAGGACAAGAGATGGGGGCTCTTGGAGCACTTCCTCAAGGGAAGGAGCCTTTAGTGTTACCCCAAGAAGGCTCTGCAGGAACCATGTGGGGAGATGACATAGGTCCTCTGATGGTTCAGAGTTATAATCAGGACCCTTCTCCTGGAACAGCTGGAGACAGGGATGAGGCTCCTCTCAGTCCAGGACTTTGGCTGAGCAGTGAGATGGATGCTGTAGGCTTGGAGTTGCCCTTACAAATTAAGGCGGTCACAGAGAACTTACAAGATGGGGAAAGTGTAACTGAGCACCAGGGAGGCGGTGAGGCACTGGGCTCTGGGAGCACCATCTCTCTGTGCCTTGGAGAAACCACACCACCTGGGGATGTGGAAAGCAGTGTACTTCCCTGTGGAGGCACTGATGCCACAGCTGTCTCAGAAAAGAGAAACTACTACAGTTTGCCAGGACCTCTGACTACCAGTAGTCCTGCCTTGAGGTCCAAAGAAAATAGTGAAGACAACCCTGAGACTACTCTGGATCCTGGTGATCTGTGGCCTGAAGGTTGCTCTCAACTGGTGGAAAGCAGAACTGATGCCCCTACATTGGAATCTTCCAATGAAACCCTCCTGTCAGCATGTCAAAGCAATACTCTTATCCTGGGGACCCAGGATGCCTCCTCCTTTCCTGAGGCCAACAAAGATGCAGAGATAAGAGACAATTCCATCTCTCCTTTGTTGGCAACCACAGAGCACAGCAGCCTACCAGATGTTGCAGATGACCATGGCCTCCAACTAGAGGTCAGCAAGGGTAACTGCCCACCAGATTTTAATTCTTATGAGCCCCCTGGAGAGAGCAGAGAGGATACTCATTTATCCAAGCCAAAAGAACTTGCTCCTTTACCAGGAACTCCCAAATCACCATCTCCTCACCAGGGCCTTAAAAGCACCTCCCCAAGATGGGGAACTAGGGATGCCTTAGTTCTGAAAGAATTATCTCCTGTGCATGAAACACACAGCTCAGCAGATGGGGCCAACAAAGAGAAAGAGGAAGAGGAGGAAGATGAGGAACTCTCTAACTTCGCCTACCTCTTGGCCTCTAAACTTAGCCTATCACCAAGAGGGCTTCCCCTCAGTCCTCACCCTGCCTCAGGCCTGCCCTCTATAGGTCAGGGGGTCAAGAGAGCACTGCATTCCCTTTCTGCTGAGGTAGGTGGTATTGACACACCTTATCTTGCTAACAAATCTGAGAAGCGAGCTCTAGTTGGAGGCTCAGCACCTGCTAAAAAGAAGCCCCACCGAGCTGGCCAAGGGGCCTCTGGGGAGAACCCCTTGGCTCTAGTTGTTTGCCCCACACAGCCTCATAAAAGGCGGCGTGACAGTTTTGTCACAGGGAGAAGAAAGAAGCGACGTCGTAGCCAGTAGGGAGCTTTCTCCCACCTGCCAACCCCCCAAAGGCCCCAGAGTAGTACCCACCCATCCTACACTCCTACAGAGTGGCGAGGGTCGGGAGGTCCCCTTGGTGGGAGGTGAAGGGAAGTACCTCTGGAAGTTGTTACAAAAGAAATGAATAAAAATGTTTTTGCTTGGAAATGACCTTCTTCTGTACTCATGTCTTTGTTGCCAGATGGATGGAGTAAGATGCTATGAAGAAAGGAGGAGGGGGTGGTCCCAGGTTCGATGGATCCACATTACTTACCTAGACTCTGACCACATCTTGGCTTCTTGCAGTCTCCTCTTGGAAAGTGTGGCTTTTAGGCTATGATGAGCTCCAGCATTAAACATTATTCACCCCTAAACCCGTTTGGGAGCTTTGGTGGCATAGTGCCTAAGGCATTTGACTGCTAACCAGAAGGCTGGCAGTTCAAACCCACCAGCCACTGCTCGGAAGGAAGGTTGGGCAATCTACTTCCATAGTGATATTGCCTCAGAATCCCAAGGAGGGGCTGCTACGAGTTGGATCCAACTCCAAGGCAGTGATACTGGTTTAAACACGTATTTGGTTTTGAGAGCTGCCTCTGAACATTCCATCATTATTCAGCTCCCTTAAAAGTCTATAGATGGAAAGATGCTTTTATACCTGTCACATTTCTGGGGCATCTATTTTTCTAAATCTAACTAACTTCCCGTAATTGTATCTGGACATGGCACCTTTCTTTGGGGGGTAGGTAAGGCTTGTTTTCTTCTTCCTTGAAAAGAAGCTGGCCAGAGGAAACATAAATGATTCTCAACTAATTCATGGGGAGAGAAACACTCCTATGTGGTAGGCCTGACCTGACAGGGAGCAGGCTTGTTTCTTAGTGTTACAGCTGTCTGCTCCCACGACATTAGATGGCCTCAAGTCTCAGTAGGATTATTAAATATGGAATGGTAGGTAGCTATTTTTTAAACTCTAATGAGGACAGAACAAGAGGGAACGGGCTGGAAAGAGGTTCATGAGAAAGTTAAAATATGTGTCTAAGTGACAACAGGAGAGAAGATATGCAATCTCCTTGCATGATTGGTTAAGAACCTCGTCCAGCTGGAAGCAAGGAGGATGCTTCCAGCAACAACTGGGACTGACCTCAGAGGCCTTCAGCCACCTCCTGTGGGCATCCTGCAACCATTCATTCCTTCCTTTCCCAATTAGTAAGACCATCAGTGTGACTCAGCTTCGTATTTTTTTTAATAGATATATAGATTTATATTTATATATAAAATAGTTTCTTACAAAAAACAAAACAAAGCAAAACAATTAAAACCAATTTAAAAAAACAACAACAACAACAAAAATCAAAGAGGAGCAGATGTGGGGTGGAGGCACAGGGTAGGCCCCTGGCGCTGCCCTGAGTGCGGGGTTGGGTGTGAGCTGGGGAGGAGGAGTGAGACGGGCCAAAGTGCTCAGTCACCCTTCTGCTTGGGTGCCTGCACAGTACCGTTGGCCAGAGCAGTGGGGCTGCCTGGGGATGAGGCATTTGATATCTGGGAGGTGCCTCGAGGGGTATGTGGGGGGCGCAGGTAAGTGCTGAAGAGCTTTCCGTAGAGAGGGTCATGGAGGGAGAAGTTCTGGAACTGACCTGGACAAGTAAGAGGGAGATGGAGGAGAATAAAAAGATCCAAGAAGAAGAAGAAGAAGAGTATGTCCCTGCTCTTTCTCTCAGAAATGTCTTCTCCCTTTAATTTCTGATTAATTTCTCAAATCCAGGTTTACGTCTCTTCTATCTTTCCAGCCTGTTCCAGTCTCATTTCTCAATTATTCCCCTAGCACTGCTCCTAACCCTTCTTCCCTTCCAGTGTGCTTCCTTCTCTAAATCTCAAGCGCTAATTCCACCCCACAGTGCCTGTGTGGGGCTGGGAAGGCAGTGACTCACAGAGGGAGAGGCCTTGGCTGGGGCCCGCCTGGCACAGCTCAGCATGCAAAGTGGTGGCAGCAGGGCAGGGTGAACCCAGCAGCAGGTGCAGGATGGTGCTGAAGCCGTCCTTGTACAGCAGGCGGCTGGGACCCTCAGCTTGCTCCTCAGCAAAAAGCTTGGGAGAGAGAAAAGGATGCAAATCAAGCCTTCTCCTTGAGCCAGCACCCCTCACTGCTCTACAGATCTGCCTGACAGGCTCCTCCTCTTTCATCCAAACTCCCCTCTTCCAAGAGTGTAGCACACAAGCCTTCCCTGACCCACAAGGGCTCTTTCTGTTAGAGAATTTTCAATGTCACAGGTATTACTCTTCCCATACCCAGCTAAGACTCAACGTAAAAACCCGAAAGCTCTGCAGTTTTAGACTGTGGCACTGGCAGGGCACCAAGCACCTACTGTCTAGAAGTTACTGGGAACAGCATTGCACATAGGCCTCCAGGTGAGGTAAGCACACCCAACATGTACCTTCACCCCCTGTTCTGATACCTCAAAGGCCAGGCGTGTCAGCTCCTCTAGGCTCCTGCCCCCATCCAGAGCTGCCAGTGCAAGGGCCACATCTCGGAAGTCCACCAGACCCTTGGTGTCCTGGAGGGGGAAAGAGAGACCAGGGTAATGTGGGATTGACCCTGCACTCTCCCTCATGTTCTGTAGATTCTGGCTCTTCCCTTTTCTCAGTAGGCATGGGGTGGCCTCTTGCCCCATAGAGGCATGATTGCTCTCCCATGACTGGTTACACTCAGACCCTCCAGGAGCCCTGATGTTTTTCTCAGGCAAGCTTGCCCAAGCTATCTCCCAGAGTCACCCGGTGACAAATCTCTCTCATAAAGGGATCTCCCAGGAATGCTAGGGAATTCCCCAGGGATGCTAAAGTTGCTATCAAGTGTCTAACATACCATTAGAGAGCATTCCTGGCCCCAAAGCTGGACAAACTGGTTCTCTCCTTGCTTAGGCTCAGCCTATGTGGGAAAACTCATCCAACAAATTGAAAGGGGGCCACTGGCATGATTTCTTTTTCTTTTTTTTTTTCCCCTTTTTTTTTTTTTTATTAGGATTTGGGTGAAGATTTACAGAGTAAATTCACTTTTCATACAGCAGTTCACATATACTTTGTCTCATGTCATTGACCAAAATTTACAATGCAGCAGCTCCCCTCCCACTTCCTCCCCATAGTTACCTCCTCCCAGTGTCCATCCCTTCATACTCTTCGAGAGGCCCATTGTCTGCCAACCCTGTATATGATCTTGGATACACTCTCCATTTAGAGGTACCTAATTGTTTAGCTTGTTCACCCATCTATCCGTCCCTATACCCATGTTTGCTTTCATTGACAACTCAGTATTGTATTTACAAAGGGGTTCATATTTGTTGTTTGTACTGCCCATGTAACTCTCTCTGTCTTTCTCATCCTCAATGCTGGCATGATTTCTTATAAAACACAGAGGAAGATGCTTAAACTTACTGTGCCTGCTCTACAGGGGACCACCACATTTGGGTTTCTGGTCCTGCTTTGCTCAATGTGGAAAAGATCAATCCGCTCTAATTTAAAGAATTAACACAACTGGACACTTTTTGTCCCTTCAGAGAATATCACGAGCCATGGCCTACATCTTAGATTTAAAAAACTCCTTAGGGCTGCTGTTGGTCTTTTGCAAACTTTAAGATTCTTCTGGGATTAGTGCAATGCAATTCTGTAAGAAAACCTAGTTAGAGTTCCTGGAAATAGATGGTTTGCAGATCCAGAAATCCCTTAGGGAAGCCATGGGACACTTGAACACTCTGCCACAGTATTGCAAATACTTCCAGGCCTCAAACTCTTAGCTGTCAAATTTGGCCAGTGTTGTTTCCTCCATATGTCATCTTCCCACCTCCTTTCACTTACTATTCTTCAAAGATCTTCATTTAGCTCCACAAGGTCATGTGATCCCTCATCTTTGCCAATGTCTATAATGGCTTCAGAAATTTAGGGACTTCTCAAATCAGTTGTTTTCTCCCTTGTACCACCCCTCCTCCTACAATGATTAAAACACTGCTGTCCTATGCACTGAATACAATGGTTTTTAGTATACTCAGTGCAGATTCCAAACTGGCCATCTAAGGTGTCTGGTAAGACCACTCAAATACCACCCTTAAATCTTGAGCACATCAACCTAGAGGGCAAGCCCCTGGGTTCTACCCTCCCTGTTCCAAGTCCCTTACCTGATGGAAGTAACTAAAAGCACCAGCCACTGTCTGAGGATCAGAGAGCTGTAGCTGCGTGGCAAACTCCTCCCGGCTGATCATTCGACTCCGTCCTGGCTCTGCTCCTGTGTCCACATGGCTGGGGGATAGCCTACAAAGTAATTGAAGGTCGAGAACAGACTAAGTTTCTTTCTGGACACACTGTCCAGCAGACAGCTTGGCTCTAGCCCCAAGAGCTCCCCCAGCACAGTTTCAGCTGGTGTTTTCTTAAGATGGATTCTGACTCATAGTCTCTCGAGAGCCCTTCTCACTTCCCTCACCTATGTTATTACATATTCCCTTTTCTTCCCTTTACTCCATTATCTTCTTTAAAATTCCTCTATCTTCCTTCTTTTTAAAAATATTCCTTCCTCTTTCCTATTTCTCCCTTTTCTTTTTTTCTCACTATACATGACACTGCCCATATCATCTTTGAGGCCACTCACCCAGCTTTCCGAAGCACCTTTCCAAGTTCCCAGAGCTGTGGTTCCAATGCTACCTTCAGCCGGCCCACGACAATCACAGGCAAGTTTCCCACAAACTCACATTCGGTGGCTGGAATGCCCAAGGCCCTACAGGATGAAGACAGATGGAACAGACGAGGAATAAGGCAAAAAAATCCTCTGAAGGTTCATTATAGACACTGGCCCCCTGGCTAGGGAGTATAAAAGAGGCTCCTTGTAACTTTCCACTTCTCAGTTTCAGCTGCCCCAAAGCTCTTCCCACTGCCACCCCATCTACACCCCCATGTTTGCCTTTGCCCTCCACCCTCTCCTTGTGGTTCCTTTGATCTGTGTTCCTTTGCTCCAGGAAATACTT